TGGAAATTCAAACCATGTGGGAGAATCAGCACACAGGAAAACCACTCACAGCCCAACTAAGAACCCACTGTACTAGTCTGTCATCTTGCTGATGCCATTTGCATTTCCTTGCTTTGTAGAGTTTCACTCTATTATAATTAAACAATTGTGTGGTAAGCTGGTTCTGGAATAGGAATTTATCTGTCAAAAACTTTAAAGATGAGTCAAGTTTATTCTTGAATCTGCTCAGAGAAATGAATCAATGAGTTTTGTTTTGGTAAAGGGACATCCAACTATTCTAATCCTACATACAAAATAGGTATGCCCATAAGACCACTAGCATAGATGAAAAACAAACAAACAACTAAAAAAACCACAAACAAACAGAAGAGCTATTTGTATGCACTGAGAACTGTGTCCAGGTTAAAATGTCTCTTACTCAATGACCTAGGAAAAGGAGTGAAGTGATCCAGGCAATGACTGTAATGGATAACAATGAGGTTCTCAATGGTCCAGGAGAAAGTGCCTAACAAAGCAACTCTTAGTTTCATCTGATTGCACATTCTGCTTATCAGGTGCTTTCTGTAGGATATTTAAGTAGATCATTAAATACACAATGTAGTTAGATTATTAGAGCAACTGGGGGTGTTTATACGAACCATCAATTTTATAGATATCTTTATCCTGAATAAGGTTTTCAAGTTGTCAATCCCAATTTTTCTTATCCATGTGTCCATCAGAAATGAAAACAAACTACCATTTAACTGAGATTTCAGTTTTTCTGAACTGTCAGTGTTGAGCTGACCTGTGTTCCATCTCAACAAGAAGGAGAGATTAGCTCTCAGAGAGCTCAGCCTGGAAGATTTCCTCTCTGATTCTGGCCCCTGGGGCATTTCTGTGGCTTTAGTCACTCTTAACATCTCTAGGAACTAATGCTTTCTGAGGATGATCCATCTAATCTCCTCAAATCAGAGTCCTTAGGTTTCTCTAAATCTTTCGGCAGACAGGCAGAGGGGGCAGGCTTACCCTATTCCTCAGGATCAAACTAAACATCTCCCCGTTTTCACTCTTTTGCTCTTGCCAATGTGGCAAGTGCAGGTTGTTCATCTTGGACTATGAGTCTCAGAGCATTAAAGCATCCATGCTCTGCAAGTAGAAAAGGCAATGGTCAGAAAACCATCGATTCTGCTGCCCAATCTCTGAAAACATGGATCTGCAGCTTCTTGCTTCTTGAAAGTCCCAGCACACAGTTACCACCCTGTCCCCTAAAAACAGCTCTCTGGCGTAACGACATTGGATGCTGAGTTTACACTTGCAATTTGAATCTGTAGACTCACTGGTATTGGTGAAAACCATTCAATCTCACTCTTACCAGTCACAGGGCATTTATTTTCTTGTTGAGAGCATTTAGGTGTGGCCAACTGTGATAGTGTAACACTAAGGTTCTGGGCTTCCGTCACAACTGACCAAGCAACAATCACACCCAAATATTAAAGTGATTCTTCAGAGCTGGCAGCTCCGTCTCTAAGAGAAATGCGGCCCTCGGGGACAACAAAGGAAATTCAGATGCTTTGTTGAAGGTTAAATAAAATCAAAGAATTGTAGGTCATCAAGAGCCAACCAATGTCACTGTAAGAGCTGCAAGGGAAGGTGGGAATTGAGGAACTACTTTCAGGTCATGTGTGCCATAAAGGGAAACAAAGAGGATGAAAGAAATTCCCAAATTGTAATATGACCTAGATCCTTCCACAAAGCCACTTCTCCATAAAACCATTGCCAAGTGCTATTTTAATCTAAGCTGGCTTTCCTTGGAGCTCTAGCCTTGCAGCATAGCTATTTTCACCAGGAGCACTGCAATAGAGAACAAGAAGTACAGAATACTGTTGGCATCATTTAACAGAATTGCTTTCATTGCTTCCTGCATAAGCAGTGAAATGGTATTCCATTCTGTTGATACTGGCAGTCACTATATCTAAAAAGACAGCACACATACTCCTGTTACACCCTTATAAGCACACCCTTAACCCACTGACATTTACTTCTATCATTTTATGGATTTCATCTTCTCTCCCTCAAAACATTTAATCAATGTAGCATTCCAAAGTCTCCAGGGAAATTTGGAAGATATGTGTGCTATGAAGGCAAGGAGCATAGAGCACCATGCTGAACTGGGAAAAGAAATGGATAGATACAAAAGAAAGAACAGGCTCATGTGGAATTTTCAACCTAGGTGAGAGCTAAAGAGACCTTAGCTCCAACACTGAACATATGCCAAGTTTCAATTTTCTAGCTATTTCCATTATAGCAAAACATAAATAACATACTTATCACTCAAGTGCACATAAAATCATTCATGGATCATGTCATAGAAAGTGTTCATTGAGTAACTAAATGCCTAAATCCATTTCTTGGACTATGACCATGAGCAATTTTACTCAAGTTCACAGCTACAAATGCATCTGTAATGCTTCCATTTGACTGGGACATGCAGTATCCAGACATTTAGTTAGACTTTGTTTTTACTGTGTCTGTGGGAGTACCTATGGATGAGCTTAGCATTTAAAATAGAAATGTTTATGAGCCTCTTTTAATCAGCTGAAGACCTGAGGAGAATAAAAGGCTTACCCAGAACTAAGAAAGAATTTTATCTCACAATACACTTATTCTAAGGCATTGGGTCTAACTGGTTCTATAGCAGCCTTCAACCTTTGGATAAGAAATAATACATGGGCTGTGTATATTGTGAACTTTCCAGACTTCATTATTGCATGAATGAATGTTTATTTAATAAGCATCCCTAAATATCTCCCCAGCAGTTACTTCTCTCCACTTCTCCTAACTGCTCCTAGTTCTCTATTGGTTCTGTTACTTGGCAGAATCCTAACAAGGCATCTTAGTGGGAAACGTAGCTGGATGGTTAGTGCACTTGCAGTGTTGATAATTTCCTTAACCACAAACAGCACCCTTACTCACCCAATAAATGCCTATACCACAAAATAAACACAAATAATACTCACATATTTGATAACCTACTTTACAATAAAAGCTCACCACTGTCTTCCATTTGTAACTCGTTAATTCCACTAAATTCCACAAAGGTCAGTTCCTGTCCTAGATGCTCCACTTCCCATTCCAGCTCCCTGTTATGGTCTGAGATGGCAGTGGAGGCTGTCTCAAGTCCTTGCACTCCTGTACCTAACATGGGAGACCTGTAAGAATCTTCTGGCTCCTGGCCACAGATTGGCCCAAATGCAGCCTTTGTGGATATTTGGGGAGTGAACCAATGGATGGAGTATCTTTCTCTCTCCTGCCTGTAGTGCTGCCTTTCAAATTAAGTAAGTGAATTCTTTTTTTTAAGTAAGTTTCAGAAAAATCTAATGATATTTAAGAGTGTACAGAAACACATTTCCTGAAGTATCTTGCTCCTGAGTCTGTATTAAGCTTTCTCCCGCTTAGGAAGGGGTAAGGCCGTTTGAAGCTAAATGGTTGCTGTAGAGAACCGTGCTGAAGTGGGAAATGAGATGGGGAAATGCAAAACTAACACTGCCTTTCCATCCCTGAAACAGAAGCAAGATTCTTTTTCATTAGGGGCTTCAAAGACTTTATAAAAGTTGCATATCATGGAAAACTTGTATGTATTTCAAAATGTCATTGCATCAAAGTAAATATCTTTTAATTCCATTTACCCACCACATTTTTGGATGTATTATACATTTCTTGCATTGTACCTATGGATTTTCACGAAACTTTTGAAGTTTACATCGATTTCAGTATTTTCTCTTTTTTATTGCACCAAAACAAACTTCTGTTTTAATTCCCTTTTCCATCTTTTCAAGGCTCTTCATGCAGCTTCAGTCTCATATTTCCAAAGACCGTAGAAACCTCACTGCACTCAGCTCACCCAAGCATGGCAACAGAGGAGGGATTCATGCTGACTGAAGACCTACTCTGTGCTGCAAAAAGCTCACAGATGTATTTTCCATTGACTTTTGGTACCTTCATGCAGAGACATAAGGCAGAAGATCCAAGACTAATAGTGAACAGTACCTAATCAAAACCTGCCCTTTGGGCCCAGCACGGTGGCCTAGCGTCTAAAGTCCTCGCCTTGAATGTGCCAAGATCCCATATGGGCCCTGATTCTAGTCCTGGCAGCTCCACTTCCCATCCTGCTCCCTGCTTGTGGCCTGGGAAAGCAGTCAAAGATGGCCCAAAGCCTTGGGACCCTGCACCCAAGTAGGAGACCCAGAAAAAGTTCCTGGCTCCCGGCTTTGGATCTGCGCAGCACCGGCCATTGCAGTCACTTGGGGAGTGAATCATCAGATGCAAGCTCTTCCTCTCTGTCTTTCCTCCTCTCTGTATATCTGACTTTGCAATAGAAATAAAATAAATCTTTAAAAAACTGTCCTTCTTGGAGTCTCTTTCACCCGTCAGTCTTTCTAAATTGAGCAGACAGCTATTGGAACATGGCAATAGTACCATTTCAGCACTAAGACCAACATTTGGGAGGTTTGACTGGTATATTCTATTTCCCAGTCTGCCAGTTCAATGTCTTCCCAGCACCCAGCTCCTCCCATCTCCATGTGTAAGAGTAGCTCTTATACACATGTGCCTTGTGCCACATCACTATGGCCACACCAGATTCATCAAATGCTTTCTAGGGCTGCAAAACTTCTGTGCCAATCTAAAAATACAGTGATCAGTATCAGAACTTAACTCATAGGGAAAAATAAAAATCTTGTATCTTAAGAGGAAAAGTCTAAAAATTTTTCCTTAAATCATTTCCCTAGAAACATGATATATCAAGAGTATATATGTTTTCAAACCAATATTAACTAAGCATTCAATATTACTCCTTGTCTACTGAAAACATATTTGCTGCAATTTCCAGCATTTTCTTTTGCTCTTGTTGATCCAGGATTCGGCTAATGAACATAACTGAATGAATGGTGGTGTACTCTTTTCTGGAATGTATGAAGATGTGGATATTGTGAACGGCACTGGGGATATTAAAGAGAAGTTACCTAGAATGCAGAGACCGTCTGTGCAGTTTTCAGACTCCTGGCTCAGACCTTCACAGAATTTGCCCCCGTTCCTCGGAGCAGGTGCTGTGCACTCTCGGATGCGCAGGTGCTCACACTCCGGGCTGCAGACCGACCATTCACTCCACAGTTCCCAGCTCCCATCCACTTGAAAGGGAAACAAAAAGCCATCATTAGGATGAATGAGGCAGGAACCAGCAGACTCACCCCAAGACTGATGTTTTTCTTAGTGCTGAATTTTAAAGATATCACCAATACAACCAAAACAAAACAACAAGCCCATTGATTTTTTTCTCTCCACAATTTCCTTTCTAAAGAGATTCTCTAAGAACAACAGTGGTACAATCTCTTGCTATCTAACGATGAGGACAATTACTGAATTTAGGCAAGCATTTGAACCACCAGTCCCCGAGGTTGCCTACAACGGCCTTTATCAGTTCTTTCCCATTCTTTCATGCCCAAGTACATCTTAGATGGACAGTGTGCAGTAGCTGTTAGTAATCAACCACTTCCTTGTGGGTTGACAGTTTGTAACAGACAGCAAGATGAACTATCCTTATGCCCTAAAATCCTTTGAACAGTATGCATTTAAACCTAACTATACCACCACCATTCAACTAAAAAGAGGTCAGTCAAACCCCAAGACATCAGGACTTACATAAATAGACTTTCTTGGCTCATGGATTGCTACTCTATGTAGAAATGAACAAGCTGGATTTAATTCTAGTAACAGTCTACCCCAGAGAATACAGCAGATGTTTGAGGCAATTGTTTTGTGACCTCCTAGGAATAGTTCAACCAGTTTATGTGGGTTAAGATATTACAGTTTTTAATCTTAAGCAATTAACCAAAGAATAGGATTAAAAAATGAACTTGGCTATAAAATTTCAGCGTCCTTATCATGTCATCTATCAATTTATTGGCTGAGCAAAGTGGGCAAATTAGTTAGCTTCATTTTATCATTTCTGTTGACTGGGGAATGATAAAACTCACAACACAGAGTACAATGTTGCAATTCAATAAGCATCTTGCACAGTACTTGGCACATAGTAAGCACTCAATAAATGGTACTGAACCTGAGTCCAAAAGGAAACTCCAAGACTATGTAGCCAGAGAGCACCTTCATATCAACTGTGAGTGTCCGTGTAACGAATGTTTCATGCGAGACTCAGGACCAAAGGCTTCCTCAGTGGAAGGATATGCTTTCCACAGAGAAAGTCGTCTTCCAGCCCATCTATTTCTCATTGTATGAAGTGGGACACAGCCAGTCAGAGATGAACAAAAGGACTTACAAAAGCCATATTTGGTAAATAGGATTTCTCCATAAAAGAAAGCAAGCATAGCCCCTATGGAAACTGCAAACTGATGTGACAGTGAGAAATTTCTGCCGGCTGTGTTGTAAAGACAGCTGGCTTCTCAGAATAACAGGTCAAATTTTGGGTACCTGCTCTTTTTGTGCAACATACCACATCCGTGCTATTATACAAATGCATGCATGCCACCAAAGTGGAAAAACCCAAGGACAAAAGTGGATGGCTTAGCCCCCACCAAACACTTCCAGGATTATGGTATTTCCAAGCATTTGGCTTATTGAGGGTGAATGTTCAATGCCTTCTGTGCAGTAAAAAATCAATATATCCCCACAAATCCTGCACAGAGGTAGTTCACCCATGTTCTTGCTGATAAAATGAGCTCCACAGTAACACCTTGAACAGAGGCTGAGAACCTGGGAGCAGGAGACTTTGGAAAGGAAAGTGATACTGATGGCCTCACACTAGCTTGCTAGTGCTGGTGGAGCGGAAGGGAAAAGGGAATCTGCAGATATCTCACCGGGACAAAGGGAGGTGCAGGTTATTTTCTGCACTGACATTCCCTCACAAAAGGCCCCACCATTGAGAGGAGCTGGGTTGGTGCAGGTCCGGGAACGTTTCTGCCATCCTCTACCACAGCGAACATTGCAGGCTGACCACTCTGTCCAGGAAGACCAGCCTCCATTCACTGAGAGACACAAATGGGGAGGGGAGAAAAAACAGGAGAGAGGTTTTTACTGATTGCCTACTATGTGCAAGCCACTGTGCCAGGTGTTGTGAGTCGGGTATCTGGGGACCAGGTGATTGCAGAGCCCCATGAGCCACTCTGCCAAGAGGCAAAGGCGGGGCTTACCTCATCTGCCTCTTGGTCCACTCAACTGTATTAGGAGGGACATGCAGAGAAGGGACTATGCAGCAGAGTTAGGGAAAAAAAAAGGAAGAACGTATCATCAAATCTCTAAAGCACTGGAAAAATTCAGAATCTAGGAAGAAAATATCAGCATTTGAATTTCTAAGATGTTAAGTGCTTCAAAAATAAATCCCAGGGCTCTTCTATTGTGGCAGGGGATGCCTTTACTTAAATAGGCAGGACTATCTCTTGTACAAGTCCTAAGATATTCAGCAAACAGGAATATTTGGTTTTGATTGACTTCATATGCCAAGAGAGGAAGTAGCTGCCAACAGGTCTGGGAAGCGGGGTCTGGGAGGAGCGGGAAGCAGAAACTGCTCATCTCCACTCTTTTTCAAATATAAACACAGTTGGTGGGGGAATCAACACTCTTTTTATTATACTTTTAAGAGAGAGATTGGGAATGTCATAGACTATCTCATGGAAACCTAAAACCAGAATGCACACATTCACAGCAATGGGTCATGTTCTATCTGGCCGCATGGGGGGAGGCAGGAAAGCACTGCAGCCCATGACCCCTAAGGTCCTTTCCAGTCTAAGCACTGAAGGCTTTAAAGAAACACACAGCCCTCTACTTCCCTGCTTTCTGCCCTCCTTTTCCATTCCTGGCCTTTGGGCTGGTCTTACCATAGACCACCACGGTGGCGGACAGGCTCCTCCTCTTGGCCACAATGTTGGCTGCCATGCATGTGTAGTTCCCGGAGTCAGAGAGTCGTGCCTGCCTGATGATGAGATTATGGTCAGCCCGGGTGTCGATGTTCTCATCTTGCTCAGAGTCAATGGGTTCCTCATTTTTCAGCCACTCCACCTACATGAAGAGAGAGGTACATGGACATGTCATAATGGAACCTAAGAGCCTCTACCCGAATTGGAAGGTGAGAGGTCCTAGTGTGTGGAAGAGGGATGGATCCCACAAACAGAAGGACAGGAATGATCTTTGCCTTATTCCACGGCCTTTCCCTTTTACTGAGCAAATGTGGTAACACTCAAGCAATGAGGACTTAACAAGCTGGGGGCCGGAAAAGAACCCAAGTACTTTGTTGACTTTGACCTATTTTCTAAAAACACACTGGGAGAGAGCAAAGAGGTGACTGCAATTAGGTCATTTCATTAGAACACTGATGATAATGATATTCCAATAACTCTTCAGAAATGGAGCTCAGAAAATCAACACTTTTTTACATGCTGAACTTGTACTTTGTAATGAGAGGAGATGGTAGGATTTGATAAGATTCCCAGTCAATAAGTTTGCATTTTAGTAAGCTCTTAAAGGATGAGAGTTTCTAACTTTCATACAGACTTCTGCAAAGACAGCCACATCCATCAAAGTTCTCCATATTTGAAGGGATGTTCCTGTGGCCATGGTTTACACCATTCCTCCAGTGATTCAAGGGACATTTCAGCTCTGGGTTAGGCACCTGACAGATTCAGGCTCTACATTCTTTCAGTAGGTGCTCATCACCACCTTTGAGCGAAGACTATTCTCATCCATGATTGGTCTATTCTTAGCATTGCTCCCAGGAAAGTGATTTTCTTCCTCCAGAATCCTATCCTGAATGCCAAGTTTTCTTTCCATGAAATCACAAGGAAGACTCAGAGGCAAGTTTCTACTGCTTGATCCCTCTCCTTGCCTATGTGGAAGTGGTGTCATTCAAGCCCCTTGTTTACATCAGACATTCCAGTCTTCCTTGTTCTGATTGCTCTCTGCCTCCACGTGAAACAACAGGCCCATTCTCTAGTGCCATCTTGCTCACATGAGACCCACCACTTGCTCAACGATAACCATTTCACTACAGTTACCAACACATGTAAAATAGTCATTTACCAGACACATAAAACTCAAAATTTATCACAGACAGCATGCACAATGGTGATTTCACAGAGACTTCATCAGAAGCAGACATTAGTGGTCATTTTGTCACACTCTGCCCACCATCCATGAGGCTAATGGAGAGTCAGTTTTAGAATAAGATGCCTCATTTCATGCTGTGTTTAAATCTAAAGAATTCTAATTGATCACCAATAAACAAGGACCATCTGTTACATGACAATTCAGCAACTATTTGTTCATCCCTATAAAAAATGAATTTATTTACCAAAAAGAAACCTATCATGTTCCTTCAATGTCTACCCCAAGCACCAACCTATTAGAGAGTTTAGACATGAGAAATACAAATTTACCCTGGAAGAGGCAGGGTATAAGAAAATAGAATGGTACCAAAAATCCTTTTGAGAATTTAAAATAGCTCCTTAAATCATAGGAAGGAGCAGCAGAAACTCAGTGTTTCAGCACCCTAATAAAGAAGCCAGTCTTACAATCAACTGTACAAGGTTCTAAGGGTACAAGCATGAGCCAGCCTACAAGTATGGGAATTAATGAGGACCCAGACCCAAACAACAGGCTCTGCTTACCAGAGTAGGCAATGGAACTGATTTTTTGAAAGTAGCATTTTACTTATCTGTTCATTTGAATAGTAGATAGAATGAGAGATAGAGTGGTTCCAGTCTCTGGTTCATTCCTTAAATACCCAAAACATCCAGGGCTGTGTAATGTGGAAACTAGAAACCAGGAAAACCTATAGGTCTCCATGTGGGGAATAGGAACTCATTTACTTGTACCATTTTCTGTTGCCTCCCCAGGCATAATAGCAGGAAGCTGAATCAAAGAGCAGCCACCACTCTAATAGGGAGTTCCAGATTTGGCAGGTGGTGGTCTTTGATTCACAATGCCTTTCCCAGAACTGATTTTATGACATATCTGATTACTGGTTTGAAACACAGCATTTTCATTTTTCCATTGACAGAGTCTATTTAGTTATTCATTCATGTATTTGACAAACAAATAAATAATGAATATCGGAGTTCTTCCTGAGAGCTTAAGAAAATAAGGTGAACAAATCCAAGATTGGTGTCTATCCCAAGGTCTTATATTTAGTGCATAAGTTAGAAACAAGTAAATCTAACATTTCTCCAAACATTAAGAGTGGAATGCTACCTTCATCTGCGATGAGATGTTTATGATAAGGCCAATAGAATTTGCTCTTAAATGACACTACCAGTTCTAGACCATTGGCAAAAACAAGATGGTCCTGAACAAGTCTGAGAGCTTTTGTTCCATTTCCACCATCTGCCTGGTTGAGATTTTAGTTGCAAGTATAGTGTCTGTTTTCTGATTAATCACCCAATCTGATTTTTTTTCTTCAGCTTCCAGAGATTGTCTCTTATGTCCCACCTCAGTTTCCCTGGCATATTTTCTGGCTAATGGCTGATCAGGAAGGAGGGACAGCTGCTATTGGCCCATAAGTCAATTTACCTTAGCCAGTTGATAGTCAGAAACCACTGTGCACACTAGCCCTGGAGAGTAAACCTGTAGCAATCCCAACATCTGAAAATCCAAGAAAGCTCTTCTCAATAACTTTTGACTAAGGGGAAATCAAGACCACAGTCCCCAAGGGAAGATTTGGCTTTAAATGAGGCACTATCTTCATGTGATACAGATTAGGCCAACAAACTGGGCAAATATTTTCCACAATTTTGAAAGCTAATAATACAAATAATAAGAGTGAAAACAATAAAAATAGCTCAACCTCTGCTTAAAGTCGATGATGATTCATTCCGGTAAGCATGGAATAAATGAACATACAGCTCATTGAAAACCAAACAAATTAGGGTAGGAATTGTGGAATAGCTATGTGTGATGTTGTCTGCACACCCCACCCTAGTGCCTGGTTCCAATTTCTCCTACTCACAGTTTCTGAGGTAACTTCCTACCAATGCCTATAGAAGTACTTGGTTTCTTGTTACCCATGTTGGAGACCCCGTAAAAGTTCCTTGCTCCTAGGTGTGACTTTGACCAGCCCTGTATATTGCAGCCATTTAGGGGAATGAACCAGCAGATAGAAGATATCGACCTTTCCTTCTCTCTGTGTTCATTTTGTCTTTCAAATGAGTAAAAGCTAAAACAAAGAACAAAACACCATAAAATTAAGAATTATTCTTTTTTACAAATAATATAAAATGTTAAAATAATAATAATATAAGGAGATTTTTCTTCCATATCTGTGAATCAGAGAATAAATTTTCTCTCAACTCATATTTTCTAAAAATAATTTCTTTGGCTTTTTTTTTTTTTTTTTGCCAAGAGTGCAAGCCAGAGGTCATTGCAATAGTCATCATGTTATCATGGCTTCTTCCTGGGGACTTATAGAATGGCCTCTTACTTAATGTCTACAACTCAAAGTCCTGCCACTGTGGTTTGTCTCCCCAATGGAATCAGACCGTGTTTCTCTCTAGATTGAAATCCATCTCAGCTCAATGCTGACAGTCCCCCTGTGGACGCAGTCCTTAAAGAAACCCCATCTCAGTCTTTTCTGCTCATGTGGACTGCTTTCAGTTCTAGAAAGCTCAAAGCAAGTTTTCACCACAGCATCTTAACCCTTGCTGACTCTGCAGCCCAGGTGACCTTTCCATAGTTATCTCAAGGCTCATTCCAGCACTTAGAAAAATATGTTAGGGATACAAATGAGAACTGAACCACAATAACCACAATATTATCTTTGACATAAAAGAAATTAAAGCAAGCAAGCAAATGTTGGGCAGCTGCTTGACCACATCTCACAGCAGAGTGCCTGGGTTTCCAAACTAGTTCTGGCTTCTGACTTCAGTTTCTTGTTAATGCAGAGTCAGGAAAATGAGGCTCAACTCCCAGGCTCCCAGCCTCAATGAAATAAGCATTTAGGGAATGAAACAATGAATAGAGGCTGTTCTCATGCATTTTCATTTATTCATCACCCCAATCTCTGTCTCTGTCTGTCTCTCTTTTTCTCTCCTCCCTCCCCTCCTTCCCTTTCTTCTCTGTTGAAATTCTTCCCTTCAAAGAAAAATAAAATAAATCTTTAAAATAAGTCATCCTTTCAACAAGCAAAAACATTAGACCTTCAAAAAGCGGGAAAGAATAATCATATTACAAAACTCTATTTGTTGTTTTCACACACTTCAGAACAAACAATAAATGTATCTATGTATTTCTATAGAAATGACATGCACAAATTTTTAACAAATACAAGAAGGTAATGCAGTACATTCTTACGGGTCTTAACCAAGGGCAACTCCTTCCTCTGTTCTCCCTTATAGTTAGCTATAGAATATTCCAGGAAAAAGTTTGGTCAATCTCAAAAAGCATCACTTCAGGTTAAAAAAAATGTTCTCATGTAGCATGTTAATGCCCAAATTTATATGTAGCCAGAAGAGATTGTTCTGTTCAAACTCTTCTTTATGAAAAATCCCAAAGGATGTGTGAATAAGCTTGGAGTCACAGATGTAAGGTATCCCAACCTGCATATAGTGGATCACGCCCAGGCCTATTTGTGTAACTCCAGGAGAGACAGTTCATGTCCTTGCTAGAGACATGGAGTGCACAACTTAGGCTGCCATCGAAGGAGTCTCTCTGTTCATCCACATGAGCTTTCTATGTATACTACTACCTTTTTGTAGGTCTTCATATATTCACGGCAAACTTGGGTCTATGTTGTCACGACTGTGGTCCATCAATGAAATGATGGCCATAAAACTCAGCACATGCGTAGATCCCTAACTGTGGGTCTCTTTTTTAATAGGTAACCTAATAGCTTATCCATTTAACTGACAGCAGCATCTTTATGAGGACTTCAGTTTGGTATTTTCCGGGAATAGGAAAGTGACAAATTGTGCTTGGATTTATACTTTGGAGAAAAATTTTTAAATATGGTTGATGTGCTAAGTGCTCCTAACATACAATGATGGTTTAATAAATATAGATAAAATATCCTC